GCGTCGGGCAGGTCACAGGGTCAGAAACGGTTACTGATCCATTCTGAATAAAATACATCAAATCATTCACACAAAGTAGTTTTGTACTTCATTTTGTGAATGTATCCGATTAGTTGTCGCTTTTTTCCTTGTGATTTTTTATAATATTGATGTACTGAAATACAGAGAAATCAACTTGTGAGTACAATGCATGTTAATATAGTAAGTGTATATTACCATAAGCGTATTGGAAAAATACCAGCGGGAATAAATCGTAGCTCTTCGGTGCTTCAATTGTGTAAAAGTAGCTCACGGGCCAGATCTTGTGTTTGTGTCTGATGTACGAAAGGTGCTTTATGAATAAAGTTAGTTTGATGAAGAAAGATATTTCTGTTAATACAGATGTGTTAGCCTCATTTTCCCACCAGGGGGCGTTGGTGCACCAGTCTGTCTCAACAGTTTTTCTGTGTAAAAGTCTTAATCGTACGTTTTAAGGTGAAGCTTAAGGCACTTTGTGTAATTATTTAACAGACAATCTCTGAGATAATGTTTCCAATCTGTGAGTTAAAAGCTGCACTTCTGATTTAAACCCAAACAGAATCACTACATGAATGTTGTTGTTCACAGGCTATGAGCAGTCCCACTGGAATGAGCACCTCGTGCTCTTCCTCCCTGTCCTTCATCGACCCAAGACTGATCCCCATGTCGTCGCCACCGCTCAGTCCCAGTGAGTCCATTTATACACATTTTAAATGAAATACACATGGATGGATTCAGTTGCTCTCATGTCCTAAACATGAAATGATCAACATTTTGCAATATGGCCGACCCCTCCGTCTACTTCTGTGAAGTGAAGCTGATGGACATGTTCATGCTCAGGTGCAGCATCCTTGTGAGGTCCACTTAGGTCCTTCATCAGCTGCCGGGACCGGATGTGGGTGGCTGTAAAATTGGTTGGTCTGTTTATTCTCACCCTTTTTCCAGCATATGTCGCCTAGCAACCGCAACGTTGCTTAAAAGAAGTTCAAACAAAACTTAGCAGCAAACCATGAAGAAATACGAGACCCGCACAGAATGCCTGTGCTCGGCTTCTGACCAAGTCCTCCAAACACACCCACATCACCCCGCTTCTGTTCAGCCAGTCAACTTCAGGGTTCATTTCAAGATCCTGGTTCTGGTCTATAGGGCCTTACATGGACAAGCACCATCTTACATTGGTGATCTTCTCAGTCCCTACACCCCCAGCAGGTCCCTGAGGTCCAGTGATCAAAGCCTACTGGTTGTGTAGCACCAGGCTAAAGACCAAAGGTGACAGATCATTTGCTGCTGTGGCCCCCAGACTCTGGAACTCTCTCCCCCTGAGCCTGAGATCAGTGGACTCAGTGGTCTCCTTTAAGAAGCAGCTGAAGACTCACTTGTTCAGGCTTCGGTGTGACCTTCATCACCTCCTCTCCTTATTCCGCCTTTCCAGGGATCCACTGATTTCCCTCTTTCCTATTCATTTTCTCTCTCCCTTTCCTTACATTATTATTTTTTTCATTACAATTTTTATTTAGTTTCTCATTTTAAACATATTTTTAATAATTATTTAAAATCATTTTTCTACTTTAATTTCTTTTGTTTGTTTTTGTGAAGTGCCTCGTGATTCCCATTTTGAGAGGCGCTTTATAAAGATCCTTTTTTTTCTTTCTTTCTGTCTTATGAGGTCAATTATGACGATTTTTTCTTCTGTTTTTTAATAATATATATATTTAAAGCACAAATGTGTAAAACTCTTAACAGCACAACTGCTGTAAGTTTGTACCTCCATATATTAAACCTCTCCAGCTTCATCATTGTTACAGGATCAAAACCTTCCGTTCGGCCCAAATGAATTAAGGGCCAGTTGGGACACGAATCTGGGGACAATAACAGAAAACGCGTCACATTCAGCTCCTAGCCTGGACAGTGTTGTCGCTTCACTGTGACGTGATTGTCCTTGGAGGGCTGCAGCCCCCGGACCTGGACACAGCTGAATGTCTGACCTGCACCCGGCCACCGGGTTGTAAAAACTAAATGTTCTAGAGATACAAAAATTAGACCAGCAGCAAAGTTAGAACTGAATGTAGGTTTAATGGGGACTTCATCAAGTTTACTTAAGTCATTCTAATTATAATTACACAGAAACTCGTTTATAACAGTTCAGTTGGATTTGTTAACATTTAACAAACAACAACTTAAACATTTTAACTTGAGTTTTCTGACTGTTACGTGTCAGCTTGGAGGCTGAAGACAGAGTTCCTGTTTATGTTCTTTCATCATCATCTCCGCTGTTTGTACAAGGTTAGGGCGAGAGCGCTGAACTCGTTGTGTTTTCCAGAATGAGAACAGAGAAACAGTAAGAGAAGAGTTTCTCTGTTTGTGTATTAGATGTAAGTTTGTCCTCCTGCTTGTGCAGCAGGCAGCAAAGGTGAGCCACTGAAGAGGGAGAGTCACAGGAAGGGCTCCGTGGTGAACGTGAACCCAACCAACATCCGACCTCAGAGTGACACGCCAGAGATCCGCAAGTACAAGAAGAAGTTCAACGCTGAGGTTCTGTGTGCTGGACTTTGGGGTTTGTTGTGTTTTCTCATGTTGGTTCTGTTTTTTGGTTTGTAGAGGACCATTTTCTGGTCGTTTCTTCAGCGATAGTTTTTTAAATGGGTTGGCAGAGCTGCACATTAAGCTCGTGGAACCTGTCGGCTTGGTTCTGCAGGAGTGAACCTGCTGGTGGGGACAGAAAATGGCCTTTGGCTGCTGGATCGAAGCGGACAGGGAAAAGTCTACTCTCTCATCAGCAGACGGAGGTTTCAGCAGATGGATGTCCTGGAGGGACTCAATGTCCTCATTACAATATCAGGTAGGTCTCCTCTAACAGGACCAGCCCACTGTTCAAAAGTAATGAACCAACTAACATGAACGGGATAGTTAGAAGGAATATGAGAGAGCTGTGTTGGTGTTGTGTTCACCATCAGCTCTGCCTTCACCCATCTATTCCTGTAGGAAAAAAGAACAAGCTGCGTCTGTACTACCTGTCCTGGTTAAGGAATAAGATCCTCCACAACGACCCAGAGGTGGAGAAGAGACTAGGCTGGACCTCAGTGGGGGACTTGGAGGGTTGTGTACACTATAAAGTGGGTAAGTGAACAATGAAAAGGGCTTTTTGAGCCTTTTATTTTCTTTTAAACAGAACAAAAGTGAAACTAGGAGTGTTTTTCCCTTTCTCACGACTAACGTTCACAGCGCTTTCACATCTGGGCCAGCACGGACCGGACTGGGTAGCTTTTAAAGTATTCATATCTAGGTAGCCTTGTACTTTTCCACACTCAACCGGTCGGTTTTTCGTCCCGCATACCGAGGAGGTCTGCTTTGGGTTGAACAGGTCCAACACACCCAATACCTGATTGGCCGACTCAGACACACACCTACCGTTAGAGGGAGCCTCCGATTGGTGGGTAGAATCAAGCAGCGGGAGATGCTCGCATTCGCGATTCATTATCATTCTGGATACTGAGAAGTCAACTTCGCCTCTGACTAAAGCTGCTTCTCTCCTCACTGCCGTGAGGAGCCCCCCCCCCCCCCACACACACACACACAGAAAGAGACTGAAGCTGCAGCTCTCTGCCTGTCTCTCCTTCTCACTGCCGTGAGGAGCTAAGCATCAAGCAGGGAGGCATTGGGTCCCATTTTAATGTCTTTAGTTTGACCCGACAGGGATTTGAACCTTGATCTCCCAGTCCCAGGGCGGACACTCTACCACTAAGCCACTGGGAAGGTGGGCTAGGTTCAGATATTCAGAACTCCTGATGTCTCCTAAACAGCAACAGAAGGATTTTAAGAATACAAATCCATTAACGTCCCCGATTGAGTCTCTGAGAATAGAACATGTGTGTAATCAGTCTCAGTTGTGGTTCTCCCATGTCTGATACAAGCAGCATCTATGAGAGTTTAACTCAAACCATAACTAGCACGCAGCTAGCTCCTCATGTCTGTCTGTCTGGGTTTTCAGTGAGATACGAGAAGATTAAGTTCTTGGTGATTGCTCTGAAGAACGCCGTGGAGGTCTATGCCTGGGCCCCCAAACCCTATCACAAGTTCATGGCCTTCAAGGTTGGTAACACCATGATGAATAAGAACTGAACATCCACTCAGAGCACAGAGGAGGTCATTGACCTGGTCGTAAGGAGAGAAGACAGCTACGCTGGTCAATAATAGTTTAGAGGAGTGATGCACCGATACCGATAAACTGAGATTAATGCTTCTAAGATCAGCAGATTTTTTATAGAATGAAAATTACTAAAGTTTGTGTGTTATTTTGTACACCACACACATTTAGGCTTCTGAGATGATTACCATCACTGTCACATGACTAAACAAATCCACATCACCCCCCTCACCCTCTGAAACAGATAAACAAATGGAAGCAAGATGGAAAAAGTATCAGTTGTTAATATCGGCCCAGTTGTATTTATCAGGCCGATACCGATATGTTAAAAAATGACTAATATCGGCCGATACCGATATTGATGCTGGTATATTGTGCATCCTGAGTTTAGAGAGATGCTTCAGTCATTTTCAGGTATGTTTCTGTGCAAAGGTTAAAGGTCGTTGAATTGACTGTTCAGAAGCTTCTACAGTCTCTACATATTGAACATGATCTGCAGTTAGAATGGCGTTCTGACTAGTGTTAAGCAAAAGGAACAATCTTTACTTTTCTAGTTCTAGTGGGAAGTAGTACTATAAAAAATTGGCTCAACAGTTAAAGGTATCACTGCATTTCAAACACATTTTAGTAAAACTCTGGATTTTTTCAGACAATTCTGCTGCTAAAACAGAAGAAGCTGCCCTGGACTTCGGTATTTTCACGCCCTTCTACGTGTATGATTCGTGTCATTCTGTATTTGTTAGTTTAAATCTAAACACGACTCAGGTTTAAGTCATTATTGATCAAAGTTACCAGGATCCACTTCACAAGGTGTGAAGAGACACCCCTGGTCTAGCCGTTAGCCCATCAGTCTTTGGCCTAGCCGTTAGCCCATCAGTCTTTGGTCTAGCCGTTAGCCCATCAGTCTTCTCAGACTCTGCTGTATAAAAACTGATGTTTCACTTTGGTTATCTTAATGACATGGCTAACATCTACTGAATGGGGCCAGCAGCCTCAACATGTGTCATATTAGCATATCTGGGACAAAACGCTGGTAGATGTTGACCAGGTGAAACCAAACAGGCTCAGTTCCACAGACACGACTCAGCCAGGCTGCAGCTTCTCAGCAGAGCGGTGTCCCATTTATTTCTGTCCTCTGTGGCCTGAGCTACTTCCTGTTCTGCAGCAGCATGTAGCTTAACCCTCGCTCTTTAGAAACGTCCAAAAATACTCTTTGTGGAAGCGATAGCATCTCAGGGCTGTTGGTCATGAGTGAAACTGCTTCGTGTGTTCAGATGATCTGATGGTGTCAACGTGTCCTCCCAGTCCTTCAGGGCCCTGCCTCAAAAACCATTATCTGTTGACCTGACGGTGGAGGAAGGACAGAGGTTAAAGGTCATCTACGGCTCTGTGTCTGGTTTCCATGCCATCGATGTCGACTCTGGAACCCCGTATGATCTCTACCTGCCTACACATGTAAGCATCTGATACACCTCAGTGTAATAGACCTCAGTCAGATGACATAAGGGCCACCCACCTTAAATCCTGCTGTTGCTGTCAGCGTGACCCCGGCACGTGAACTCTAATGCACCTGTGATGGTGCAACCACCTCTCAGCAGAAGAGGCTTTAGGTCTTTAATGCAACAAACAGCTTTTAATCTTTTTAAGGACAAATAAACTTAATAAACACAATGCTCACCTCTGCTGGCTCAGTGATGTAGGAGACAGGTTAAATGCGACATGACCGTTCAGGCTGCAGTCGCTTCCACATCAGATATGTATCTGAATCGGTTCCACATATGAAAGTGACCTGGATCGCATTTGAAAAAATCAGATCTGTGCTGTTCAGACTGTCATTAAAAAATCAGATATGGGTCACATGTGGGGAAAAAGCGGATTTGATGCACTTATGCCTGCAGTGTGAACGTAGCCTAAGTCTCTGAAACCATTCCTAAACATCCAGCGCAATGTGGCTGAGCAGATCCTCTCTGGAGATGGACAGGAAGATAATAGGAGGGACCATGAATATAGCGTCAACAGTACTTACAATATTGTCCTTTAATGGTCTCAACTACTAGTGAAGATGCCGGAATGTTCTGTAAAAATAGTGTAGCTCTGTAGCGTTGCATTTGGAAGTCTTCCTAAAGCGTAGGGATGTGCTGCTAATGCTTCTAGGCTATTCTTCACACGCTACGCTTCCAGAAACCATCTAGCCCAGAATTTCAGATCAGGCCAGACAGGAAGTCAAACACAAGAGAAGTGTGAAACATCTGCAAACTTTCAAAATAAGAGTCACATGCAGATGTGCAGTTACTTAACTAGCAAAAACAAAAAAGTGCATCATTATCTGCAAAACCTCTGTAGCCTTAATCTGTAGCATTTAGCATACTTGCTGTTTTCTGTTGAACTTGGTGTGTAAACGGGTTTGTCTCAGAGAGTTGTGCCTACATTTCCAAAAGGATCGCTCTCCAGTAAGTTATTCTGCCATAAAATAACCAAGTTAAAGTCCCATTAGCTGTCACACACACTAGTGTGTTCTCCACTTCTGACCCACCCCCTGGGGGAGCGCTGTGCTGCAGCTGTGGCTGTGCTCGGGAGCTATTTGGCGGTTTAACCCCCTCAATCCAACCCCATAAAGCCGAGTGTCAAGGGAGGGAGGCATTGGGTACCATTTTTAAAGTCTTTGGTATGACCCCACCAGGATTTGAACCCTGATATCCCAGTCACAAGGCAGACCCTGTACCACTAAGCTGGTGATGTATAATATAAATCAGCTGGGTTTCTGTTCCTAAATGAAAGCGGTACAACTGTCAGCAGCTCGCCCACTGCTGGTGGGAATAAAGACGGAGCAGGTTTTGTGTTGAGTTGTTATTCTGCTTTATGTAAAGCCCAGATGAGTCACAGATTCTGACACATCTTGGTGAATCTGTTCTAACCAGCCTGATTAAAATACTCTGAACTCATTTACTCCTGTTTTCTGCACACATGCCATCAGTAGGTTCGGTATCTGTACGTTTCTTCTCCTCCTTAGACTCTGGAGTGGGCGGCTGGTGTCTGAACTGGATTTGATGTTTCGGGACCCTCCAGTTAGGGCGGGTAACAGAGTTAGTTTGTAGAAAATCAAATCAAGTTTTGATTTCTAACAACCGTTTCTGTGAGATGATGAACGACTTCCTGTGTGTGTGCAGCTTCCTGTGAGAAGTGGGGGAGTCAGAGGGATGGAAGGGGAGACGGGGGGAGAAGACGCTCTAAAAATACCTCCCTCCTGTCCTCCTTCTCCTGCAGTCATTACCTCTCAGAGTGTGGTTTCTGACCCACTCTCCCTCCCGTGGAGGTTTTTCTTATCCTTGGGTTTGTTAGGCGAGTAGTCACATAGCTTCCTACAACTCCGGTGCCTTCACCACTGTCTAAAACCCACTCACTTCCACTTCTTTTATCACTCTGGAGGACACTTCCCCATCCTCAGCTCCTCTGTAGATCCCATTCACACACACACACACACACACACGCGGAGCTGAACTATGTAAGGATGCTGATCCCGAGGCAGAGGATAAAGATTGCGCTGCGCTTGTGGATGCCCGTTCTCATGCTCAGGATTGTGGTGGCTCACACTCCGGTAACGTATCAGATCACCGCCCAACTTTCTGCTTTTCTTACATTTAACTGCAGAACTCCTTATTTTTTTAGGATAAAGAGCTTAACTGCTTGTTTTAAATAAATAAAAAAACGTTGACATCAGTGCAGCTGCTGACCGTCTGGTTGTGTTTATATCTAGAAACTGCAGGTGAGAATGTTTTAAAACGAGAGCCGTGTGTTTATTTGTCCTTCTAGAGCTGATTCAACATGAACTCACAGTAGAATATTTCAGCTCCGACACGTTTCTGGGTCAGTTTAAAATAACTACGGCTGGTTTCACCCCGACAGAGCTCCAATGGCACATAAACAACACTTAGAGTTTAACCTGTTGGAAGTTTCAGAGCCAGTTTACTTTATTCCGGGGGTCAGCAACCGCGGCTCTTCCATCCATCTGATGCGGCTCTGTGCTTGTAAAATAATGAGTGGATATTTAAATAAAATGCTTTATATTTTACTGCATTAATTTTACATCTGTATGCTAATTCTAAATGTAAAGATTGTCTACGTAAACCTGAACAGGTCCAACCCGGTCTACTGTGAGACCGGGTTGATGCGTCACGCTTGTGCGTAATCATATAGGCGCTTTCTGAGCTGGAGGATGTGAGATTCTGGGATTCTCCTCAGACGGCTCCTGGATGTGTCGCCACATTGGAGACAGGAACAAGCGCTATTCAGCCAAAGTTTCATAATCAGGGAACATTTTCTAAGTGACAAGTCTCGCTTCAGTCGGAGGAATCTTCCTGCATGCGCCCTGGTTCTGCGACGTGCTCCAAGCCCCTCTCCACATCTTCAGCTCGCTGTGGACCTTATGTAGTACATGCTGACAGTGAGCTGTGCTGAGCGGTGTCCATCTCAGATGTTCAGATGAGAATCTTTTCTTGAGTGATTTAGCTACATCTGCGATGTGCGAAACGAATAAAATGTCAGTTCGTCTGCATGCGTCGGGGTAATTCTTTCTATTCTTTCTCTGTCAAATTAAACGGTCAAATGCAGGAACTGTCCGGTCAACACAAGCCCTGCTTTTAACTGTTCTGTTTTCTTGTGAAAATTGTTGCAAAGAGATAAAATTAAACTTGATTAACACCAGAGCCAGGCGCACTGCGCCGTTATCTCCGTTACTGTAAATGAGGGAAAAACAAAATGATCGTATCCTTTTCTGACCTTCCCCACCTACAAAGTTTAATTACAACAATCAAATGTGACAGAGCCTGGATTTTTATTCTGAACAGTCTAAACATGTTTTTAAAAGAAACGTATGACAAAAGTGGCACCTGCTCAGTAAAACCACCAACAGGGTGAAAAATACCAAAAATATTGTAGCAGAGACGGGCTACAACTTCTGGTTCCACTTTATATAAATCATTTTATTGATTATCGTCTTATGAAAGATAGCTTTGACGTACACGAGTGACCGGTACCGGCTGTTGTCACCTGTTGTGAGCAGCTCTCTGCTGTCTGAGGGTAGGCCCCGCCCACAACGCCGCAGCTGCTGTGGCTCCCAGTGTTTTCTTTACTGTGGGAAACGGGTAATAATGGCTCTTTGATGGGAACAGGTTGCCGACCCCTGCGATGGTGGCACAGGAGTTAAGTGCTCGCCCCGTAATCGGAAGGTTGCAGGTTCGAGCCCCGCTCAGTCTGTCGCTGTCGTTGTGTCCTTGGGCAATACACTTAACCCACATTGCCTGCTGGTGGTGGTCGGAGGGACCGGTGGCGCCAGTGCTCGGCAGCCTTTCCTCTGTCAGTGCGCCCCAGGGCAGCTGTGGCTACAATGTAGCTCATCCCCACCAGTGTGTGAATGTGTGTGTGAATGGGTGAATGACTGATTGTGTTGTAAAGCGCCTTGGGGGGTTCCAGGACTCTAGAAGGTGCTATATCAAATACAGGCCATTTACCATTTATTCATACAAAAAAGTATTTTTTTATTTCATAATTAGCGACATTTTTTAAAATTAATTCAATGTCCAATTACTTATTTTATTTTAGGTCCATGTTTCAATCAGGAACTAAAGGTCAAAGTTCAGATGTTTTGCATTCAGACTTAAATGAACAACCTCAGTTTGGTGAAACTGAGACTGGTTGATGAGCTAATGGCTAGCTGCTATTGCAAAACAAAACTAGGCCTCCACAATATGTGCTATGTTATGAACTTTTACATCACCACCAGCTGCACTGTTTTTAGTTACTCCAGAGCGTCAATAGCAGCTAGCTGTAGCATTTGCTACATGGTGCTCTGCCTGCCGTAATCTTTTTGTCCCTCTTGCATGAATAAGTTAGGAATAATGTTGGCTGTGTTTGTGTGTGACAGATTCAGGGCTCCATCCGTCCTCACGCTGTTATCATTTTACCGAACAAAGCTGGAACAGAGGTCCTGGTGTGCTACGAAGACGAAGGCGTCTACATTGACACATTTGGACGCATCACCAAGGATACGGTGCTGCAGTGGGGGGAGATGCCTACATCAGTCGGTAACTCTGGACCAGACACACACACACACGTACACACACGCACGGTGTGTGTTCTCTTCGGTCCTGCTCCCAGCCATTGTCCAAAGTTCTGTGGATAAACTGTGGACCGGTGTGATACGCAGGAGCATTTCATCTGTTCTAGATTATAGTCCTAGTGGTTTTCTGCAGAGAGACCAGATCTGAGACAGTTTGGGCTAAAAATAAGGTGGTTTGTGTGTGTGTGCGTGCGTGCGTGCGTGCGTGCGTGCGTGAGTGAGTGAGTGAGTGAAGTTGATCCGATAGATGTGTTGGTCTCCTTACGGCTGCTCTTCCTGCTCCGCTCTGTGTCTCCAGCCTACCTTCAGTCCAACCAGGTGATGGGTTGGGGAGAGAAGGCCATTGAGTTGAGGTCGGCCAACACCGGGAGCCTCGAGGGAGTCTTCATGCACAAAAAGGCCCAAAAACTCAAGTTTCTGTGTGAGAGGAACGACAAGGTACCAGTGAGAGCTGCCGTCAAAGTCTGCAGCACAAACTCAAATGTTTTTAACTGTTGAAAGGAAAACTGTTCCCTTTAATTGCGTGTATCAGGTTTTTGATACAAGACTTACAGAAATGTTACAATAAAATATCATCAGTTACTCCACTAGAGGGCAGCAAACATGTCAGCAGGAATGTACTAATCCTGTTACAGAGGCAGTGCTCTACCTGATATAACCATATCCATGTGGTCAATTCAGATATCATCCATCTGTCTGCAGAAGAATATGAACATTTTTCTCTATAAGTGATTGTGAAAGTCGAGGAATATCCAAGTATGTGGATAAAACGTAAACCTTCTCCCGTAGCTTCTGTTTGAAGAAGCAGGATCAGTTGGTTAAGAGTTACGTTTTCCAGTTAGTGCTTTTGTTTTTTTTTCCTAATTCATGTCAGCCATGTTCTGTAGGACGTTGGTTGCTGATCTTTATGGAAACAAATTTGTTTAGGACACCTCCTGATGTCTGCTTGTTGTTGCAGGTGTTCTTTGCCTCAGTGCAGTCAGGAGGCAGCAGTCAGATCTACTTCATGACTCTCGGACAGAATTCGCTCTTCAGCTGGTGACGAGCAGACCTGTGAACTCTGGGATTGACTAGTTGGGTCTGAGAATTGGATTGGTCATGACCAATTTGAATCATCAGGAAAAAAGAAGCTGGAACCCTGAGGTTTTATTGTGATTGATCCTAAATCCCACCGCTCCATCTTCTCCTCCTCCAGCCCGTCGCTCTGCGTCTCCAGCTGCAGTAGCCACACCAATAGGAGCTAATCCTCACCAGGTAACTGGTTCACCTGTTTGAAATGAGAGCAGCAGGAGACATCAGAGCTGCTCCCATCCCAGCATCAGTGATTGACCCACACTTTGCAGGTCTGAGGATGGTCTGCTGATTTATCATCATCTGCTTTCAACAGGAAGATCACGTTCTTTGGTTTGAGGATTTAGTTTTTAAAGAGCAAACTGCAGGTTAGAGACTCCCATGAACCAATGTTTAGAGAAACATAATAGAAACTCGTTTTAAACATTTTTTTTACACTGACATAAATTATTTAGGCTCTTAGAGTCATTTTTGTGAGAAAAGTTTTTTTTGGCCAAACCAAGTGACGTCAGCTGAGGGAGTCCTGTTAGCTTAATCCAGAGAATCATATGGATTCTAATACGCCTCTGACACAGAGGAAACTTTAAATGTTTATAATTCTACTTATGATGGACCAAAACCATAAAGTTATGAGTTTGCTGCTCGCCCCAGAGAGCAGAGACAAACCAGAGGGAGAAACCATCGGCCAAAGCAGAGATTAAGGAGAAGCGGCGGGGGAGCAGCAGGAGAGTTAACGATGCTAGCTTAAACTCGTTTGCTAACATCACAATATAGTACAGCTTACTATCATGCGCCAGACAGTTAAAATAGTATCGGTCAGTTAATATAATATTAATACTAATGAGCGTCTGTCAGCGGTCTCATACTCATTAATATCTGTTCACATAACATAGTTTAGCGCTTAGAGTGAGGGAGAGAGACGCCTGTCATCCGGTTCTGGAGCTCATGCGGGCTTCTGTGAGCTGGATCCGACCCAGACACCAGCGAGCCAGTCCAGCTGGTATTTTTTTAAAACTGCGCATGATCCTCTCCTGGTGGTCCAGGTGGCGGTTCTGATCTGGTTCTGACTCAGAAACCAGCTGGCCTGCTGAGCCGCGCGTCTCTTCTGGTGGTTGGTTAAGACCTGGTTCTGATGGTGATCTGAGTTCCAGAAATCCACATTTAAGTTTTTAAAACCCCACCATGGGTCTCCAGAGCATCAGGAGGAGTAACACCACCATGTCTAGATGACTCTATGATCCTCCATCACATTTTACCTTTTCATTACTTTTGGGGAGGGATTTGCTTTAAAAAATGCCTTTACCCAGTTATCAGATCTGCACTTCCTGTTTGTAAACCCTCCAAACACGCCACTGCTCAGAACTTTAGTAAAGTTCTTGTTTTCAATAGAAAACCAGATGAAACGAAGCAGAAGAACCTCAGACGCTGTCATAGTTGGAAATGAAGGCTTCAGTGGACACTGATGTTTGTTTAGGCTCAAAATAGCGAGAAAGAAAGAGTCGTCTGTGAAGACATGTCCAAACACACACACACACACAAGTGTGCACCACGCCCGACAGCCACCCAAATCACACCTCCATAGTTACAGAAGCCGCTCAATGGGGCAGTCCGTCATAAACCGCCGAAGAAGAAGCAAAATAAAGGACTTGAGTACCTCTGTCTGCTCTGGTCTTATAGAAATGCCCAAATCTAAAAGCTGATGCCAAAGGCATTCAGGCGAGCGCTGTTCCTGAGCCGAGGCCATCTTTGTAGTTTTTGTCAGTCGCAGCTTTCGTTCCAAGCCCACTCATGTGTCTCTACAACATAGAGCGCTGTGATTAGCTAGCTAAAATTGTTTGGGCCAATGGTAGGCCTGCTGAGGCTACAATGGAGCGTGGCTAGATCAGCCTGCAGAGCTAAATAGTTTTGCTGCTGCTACGATCGGTCTGTTGTAGGTTAGAAGATTTTAGTTGGTCTGGATAATTTGTGGGAGTTACGGGGGTTGCATCTTCCATGGGTCATAATTCGTCACGAGCGACTAACGAAGCATGTCATTACCTTTGAAAGTGATATTTAGTCCAATAAGTAATCCCAGGCTAAACACCATGAAAAAGTAAAATGATCTATGTACTCAAATTCATTCACTCAACTTTATTGAACAAATAGCAACAAAATAAGAACAACTGAAGTAATAAAAATGGTTAATTAAATAAATACATGCAAAATTCACATCTTTGAATTGTGTTAGAGTGGTTCTGTTGGTAGTCTGATACTGATTTTAGTGCTTAATTGGTTGAAACACAATATAGTTTGTCCAAACTGTGTTGCCGTAGTGTGATGTCATCAACAGGAGTATGGAACTTGGATTGGGACAATATGAAATTTAACTTGTAAAAAAAAATCAATGTACAAGTTTCAAGTCACAACTCTCAAAACACAAATCTCAGTCTACAAGTACAAAACATTTTGTCCCAATTCGAGCTTCCTTCCAACAGGAATTGTCTTGGACAGGAATCCAAGACTCGTGATTGGCTGACCAGACAAAGCCGGTCATTGATTTTTTGGGAAGGAAGCTAGAAATGGGACAAAATGTTTTGTACTTGTAGACTGAGATTTGTGTTTTGAAACTTGTACATTGATTGTTTTCTGCAAGTAACAAAATGAAAGTTTCATGTTACATACCAAATGTTACGTGTTACAAAACGAGAATTACAGGCTACAAAATGAAAGTTAAAGTTACAAAGCATGTTACAGGTTACAAAGCTTGGTACAAGCTACATGTAATATTGTCCCAATCCTAGTTCCATATAGGAGCAGGGCGATAACTTCGGCTTATTTAGTCTTTTCAGACTAATATCAATCAGTCTAAATGTTTTTCTTTTATGTGTAACGCGGTAAATATGACAAACTAACAAATAAAATATATCTAGATGTAAATAAACCTAAAAGTATATAGAACGACAAAAAATAGGTTTTTTAGTTTAATTTAAAAACATCAGCAGTCTCAGCTTCATGTATATTCGTTGTGTTTCTGTGGAAAACAAGAACATTCCCAAGTGGTTATAAAAACTTCCGGAGGATTTATCTATTTATTTGGGTCTTTTCTGTCCTCTAACTCCAGTGTTAGCATTCATCTCACCACAAATCAGTTTAGGGACCAAATGAAGGTTTTTATTTTGCTTGAAATGGTGTTGTGAAGATTTACGAATCCCAGTTTGTCTTTGCTGGTTTTCCTGTGTTTTGTACAGCCTGAGATGTATATATTTGCCTCAAATACACTGTTTTCTAAATGCTTTATAAACAACAAGCCATCTTTACGTGTTTGTACAGAATTATAGATGTATAAATGTGAAACTCAGCCTTGGAGCAGGTTTCCTGCATGTGACCCACGGGAAGCCACCAGGGTGACTTTCTCCTGATGTGTTCCAGGTGTTTTGCACAAAAACCATCCTCTATGTTTTTCCTGCTCTGAGGTGTTGTGATCCATATTGTTGCCTGTGGTCTGGGATCAGCTTTAGTGACACTACCAGATCCAGGGTGCTCTCCCGTTTCTAACCTTCTTGATTTTGAATTTGTTTTTGTCTTTTCGAGACGATGCAATGAGCTGCAGGAAAACGATGTCTGGTTATTTTTCTTTACACACTGAGCCATAAACATCAAGCCAAAGACTGAAGCTTTAATCTCTTTTAATCATTTTTGCTTGATTTAAAAATGACTAAATATGTGAATCAGACATATTTTAAAGCCTGTTACCCTTCTCTATGGCAAGCCAAATGAGCATTTATTCTGATATCAGGATATCAGCCAGCATTGTCATGAACATGTAAGCCATTTCTGTCCACTAGTTAACTAGTTAGACATGTTTGTGTCAACTAGTTAAATAGTGACAGCCTAAATGTCAACTAGTTAACTAGTAAGGCCTAAATTCTCTCTAGTTAACTAGTTAAAATGTTTCATATCTTACTAGTTAACTAGTATTGCTCAGTGTGTTCACTAGTTAACTAGTGGACAGATCAATGTCCACTAGTTAACTAGTTAAAACACATTCAGTTTTTACTAGTCAACTAGTAAGGTACAAAAACTTGTACTAGCTGACTACTGAATGTAAAAATCCCACTTGTTAACTTTGCCCAATTTGGCCAGCCGCTTGAGCATTAATTCTGATATCTTGTCAACAGGTCAACTAGTTAACTAGTGAGGGTCAAACTGTACACGCTAGTTAACTAGTGAACACATTTTGACCTTCACTAGTTAACTAGTTGACACAAAAATGACTCATTAGTTAACTAGTAAAGGCCAAAATGCATACCAGTCAGCTAGTTGAAGGTATTTGTGTCTCACTAGTTAACTAGTCAGGGTCAAAATGAGCCCACCAGTTAACTAGTGGGAGACGGAAATGTTCACTAGTTAACTAGTGAACACATTTTGGCTTCACTAGTTAAGTAGGTGACACAAAAATGGCTCACTAGTTAACTAGTAAAGGCCAAAATGCATACCAGTCAGCTAGTTGAAAGTTTTTGTGTCTCACTAGTTAACTAGTGATGGCCAAAATGTGCACACCAGTTAACTAGTGACAGAAGAAATGCCCACTAGTTGACAAGTGAACACATTTTGGCTTCCTAGTTAACTAGGTGACACAAAAATGGCTCACTAGTTAACTAGTAAGGGCTAAAATGCATACCAGTCAGCTAGTTGAAGGTTTTTGTGTCTCACTAGTTAACTAGTGACAGTTCAAAGTGTCCACATGTTCACTAGTGAAGGCAAAACTCCTAACTAGTTAAGTAGTTGGAGTAGGTCAGTGCCACTAGTTAACTAGTGAACCATTAATGACTCACTAGCTAGCTAGTTTATTGTAGCAGGCTCACTAGTTACCTAGTTGATGCATCCATTGTCCAAACTAGTTAACTAGTGAGGACATAAATGTATACTAGTAAACTAGTTCAAGCCTACATTCACACTAGCTAGCTAGTTGCACAGAATTCTAATTAGGAGGCAGAGAATTTCTCAAATTGAGGCTTTCTATTGGCTCACTATGTTAAAATAAAATATGACAACCAATCACAGTGTGGAATTTTGCAAAATCCCACCCCAAACATTTGCATGCGGCACACAAGTTAACATGCTGGCCAGAGGAACCTCAGCTAGTGAACTAGTAGTGGCTTCAGTGTGACACTTACATGTAAACTTGTGAAGGCGGAACTGCTCACTAGTTAACTAGAGAGGGTACAAATGTCCACTAGTTAACTAGTGAGGTGCAAAATAAGTGTCACTAGTTCACTAGTGGGCCCCAAAACGCCCACAAGTTAACTAGTAAGGTGCGGATATGCTCACTAGTTAACTAGTGAGGTGCAGATTTGCTCACTAGTTAACTAGTGCACCCTTAAGCGCCCACTAGTTAACTAGTAAGGTGCAAAAAAGCATCACTAGTTAACTTGTAAAGTGCAGATATGCTCACTAGTTAACTAGTGGGCCCCAAAACACCAACTAGTTAACTAGTAGGGTGCGGATTTGCTCACTAGTTAACTAGTGAGGCGCAGATATGCTCACTAGTTAACTAGTGACGTGCGGAATGGCTTACTAGTTAACTAGTGAGGCGCAGATATGCTCACTGGTTAACTAGTGAGGTGCGGATTTGCTCACTAGTTAACTAGTGAGGTGCATATTTGCTCACTAGTTAACTAGTGAGGTGCGGATTTGCTCACTAGTTAACTAGTGAGGTGCGGATTTGCTCACTAGTTAACTAGTGAGGTGCAGATATGCTCACTAGTTAACTAGTGAGCATATCTGCACCTCACTAGTACCTCACTAGTTAACTAGTGAGCATATCTGCACCTCACTAGTTAACTAGTGAGGTGCGGATTTGCTCACTAGTTAACTAGTTACATCTAAAAACACATACAAGCTGACCATTTTTGTCCACTAGTTAACTAGTGGAACAATTGAAATTTCACCACTTTACATGTGTGGCAGTGCAGCAGCTCACTAGTTAACTAGTGCCTGAAACACAAATTATGCATATTCTAATGAGAAGGCGGGCAGAAGACTCCTGTTGGGTATAAGAATCCCACCCAGTCTAAAACGTATGTGCTGTGGCCTCACAATCACATACTGATGGGTGTCCCTGAGCGCCAAGGCTTGCACTCATTAGTCATGGTTTGACACCTACTGGTTGGTCGTTGCGGCGGGTTCGAATCCATCAGATGGCATTCCGCAATTGCTGTAACATTATTTATTTTCTCTTTGTGTTGTAATGTTCAAAGTTTTATTGTTTTACTGCTTTTATTCCCCCCTCCCAAATCAAGTAAAGCACCTCGTTTGGTGTCGTGTAAGGGAGATCAGTTGGCGAGTTCAAGTCCCATTGAGGAGAATTGGAATTTAGTGTGCCAGCAATTTTATTGTAGTTCATTTTTGTTTGGTATTGAAAGTTTGGTATTGAAAAAGGCTATATTAAAAATAATTATATATATATATATATATATATATATATATATATATATATATATCTCCATCCATCCATCCACCCATCTTCCCAAGAAATAGATCAAATGACACTGAGGGAAAAAACTGTGGTTATTTGGGAGAGGGTGCTCGCTGCAAAACCACAAAGGCGGAGCTGCACCCCGCCCATTCACGCAAACTCAGCCTAGCCCACTGACTTCCGTTTTTGTTTTCAACTTTATCGCAAACTGACCTGACCCACATGAATTACGGCTGTTACTAGTTTACAGTCGTTAATGCTATGTTCTATGCTCCAATTAAACAAGATAAATATAACTTGCTACATGACAAAGACTGAATATATCTCGAAATGAAAAGGTTTCTTTTAGCGAATATCTGCCTGCAGCTGGTCTAATAAAAGTGGTGTACAACAGCACTTCAGTCTATTGAATGGGTTCTGGTGGTCTAGTGGTAAAATCGTCTGAGTTGGTTTTTGCTTTCCCCTCAGCTGATGCTGGTTCGATTCTCGGTGGGGTCGTCAACAGTCTATTTAGCCAGCTGATACATTCAATTTGTTTATATTTTAGTTGTAATGTTTATTTTCAGCAAAATATTTATGTCGCTAAAAGTTCTTTGAATTTGGTCGTTCCTAAACAGCATTTTAGTTGAAACTCTGCTCACAAATGGACTCACACTGGCTAAATAAACGAATAAATAAATAAAAAAACACATTATATGTTAAACGGTATACCAGTAAATTGTTGTAAACATAGTACTGGCAAGTGTAGCTAGAAATGAAGAAAAGAGGTTGTAAACTACCTAAAACTTACACTACTGGGAGGCGAAACAGCATGTCAACCTGACTCCATAACCACTACACCACCACATCTGTTATAAATCAAGTGGCGTTACATGTAATTGTGCTTCCCAGTGTGTCTCTGAGATGGGATGTATGGTTTATTGGCGGTGTCTCAGTAGAAGTCATTTCAGAAATAATTTGTCAGAAAATTCACAGAATATCCAGATTTGAGAACCAAGACCAGACCCGCTTCGGGGGAGGAGACCAAATTGAAGCTGAGATGGGAGGAAAATGCATGAATGAGGCTAAAAATGGCTTTGGCGTGTTTCTTATGAGGAAATGACAATATAACATGATTAAAAGTCCCAAAAGTTAGATTTTTAATTATATGGAACCTTTACAAAAACTGTTCAATTAACTTCTCAACTCCGTCCTCAATCTCGCATTTTTTAGCTACAACACCCTCTTTGGTTCCAGAATGCTATCAAGTCTGACAACTGGAAGGAATTAGACTGACTCTGATGGAATGGGCGGGGCTGATTCTGGAATGGGCGGGGCTGACTCTGGTGCAGCTCCACCTTCTGGTGCAGCTCCGCCTTTGTGGTTCTGCAGCGAGCACCACTTGTTATTTTGAGCTAGTACCAGAAGACAGTGTAACCTTTTTTAGTTCTCTCCAGTCAAAACAAAACTTTAGACTTTTTTCTTTTTTTAATTTAACAGGGAACAGCAATCAATTGAACAGGGAACTGCAACCAGTAGTCACACAACAAAATAAAATCACACAAACAAAATAAAGTTACTCTCCTCTTTTCTTGGTGTCTGAAAAGGGCAGGGAAAACCATCTGACTCCAGTCACCCATCGAATGGACTCTTCACCCTCCTGCCCTCTGGGAAGCGCTACAGGAGCCTATGGACTAAGACTACCAGGTCCCGAAACAGTTTCTTCCCCACAGCTGTCAGACTCCTAAACTCTGCCTGCTGACATAACACCCCAAACCAGCAGCACCCTACATAAACTCTGTAGAAACAAGAAAGCCCTGCAAATCGATGCAGAGCGTCGCGGGATATGCCTGACTGGTCATATATATTCCTCTCATGACACTGACCTCTGACCCTATGAGCTTGTGTATGTGATGAGTTTATTTACCTTTGATAGGGAGTTATGACCTCTGATTTTGTCAAAATCCTTCAACCCGTTCAGGAGATATTGCACACAAAAGCCAAATTTTCATATATACGGCCTCACACAACCTTGACCTTTGATCCTATGAGGTTTTGTACCTCATGAGTTTATTTACCTTAGATAGGGAGTTCTCACCTGCGATTTGGTCAAAGTATTTCAACCTGTTCAGAAGATATTGCACACAAAAAACAATTTTTCATATATACGGCCTCACACGACCTTTACCTTTGACCCTATGAGGTTGTGACCTGAT